GGGGGGGGGGGGGAGGAACAGCAGGCAAGAGTGTAGGCTCAGCCTTGATAGACGCGTCTATCTATTCGTCTTACTCCGTTTCCCACAGAGAGGTCCGTCTAAGCCTCGGTATGACAGCTTAGCACGTCTTGCAGTCGACTTAGAGGATGGGAGATCTTCAGATACGGCGTCTGAGCAGCTATTTCCGAGGTGACACGACATGAACACGCACACAAGACACGTCCTCTCCGTAGAACTAGTTATCCTGCCCCTCAGGCCCATAATTTCATATTTTTCGGGTCGGACGGGTATCTTCTTGAATATTTTCAAAATTGATCACAATCTGGCGGCCCCCCTAGCCTCGCACACACGCACGCACACGCCCGCCACCTCGGGTCACAACCACAACGCCACACACACAATGGCACCACCGGCACCACCAGCACCAGCACCAGCACCACCAGCACCAGCAGGTGCTGCTGTCAGCGCACCCGTTTCCACAAACTATCAGCCAGGACAACACCGTCGTGGCCCAGGCCAACGACGCCATGGTCGTATGTGCTTTTCCGTCGTTGACTCAAAAATCGCCCGCAGTTGGTTGTTGATTATTGTAAGAGTAATTATTTACTGGTTGATTCGTGTTTCCGGCTTGAGTAGAGCGATGGATGTCGTGTTGACGTTTGAGTCCGGATCGAACAACAGGCTTGAGCAAGTGTTCGCCAACAGTTTGTACGAATTGTGTAGTAAATGTTCTCGGATATTCGCTGGTTGATTCGTGTTTCCGGTTTGCGTAGAGCGATGGATGTCGTGTTAAGGTTTTGAGTCCGGATCGAATAACAGGCTTGAGCAAGTTGCTCGCCCGCAAGTTTCCCTTATTTTTAGGCCTGTGCTCGGTAGGTGATTTTTTTTTCTTTTTTTCGGTGATTTTTTCCGATTGCCAAAAAGAAAATCGGTGATTATTCTAGGTGCACTGGATATTTTTTCGGGGAAAATCGGCGACAAAAATAAGAAAAGGGTGAGAGCCAAGAAAGATTTTTCGGTGCTTTTCGGTGATAATTTGAAGGGTAGACTGCCGAAAACGTTCTTCGGCGATGTTCAGCGATGTCTAGGAAGTACTCCACATGAAAACGTTAAAACGAACTCTGGTGTTCTTTTTTTACGTATACCACAAGTGTGTCCGTACTGTGTACCGTGTGTGGGGGGGGTGTCTGCAGCGCGGTGCTTGGGTTGTGTTCGCTGTGTGCTGTGTGCTGTTGGCTCTGCTGCTGTGCTGCTGCGCTTGAGGGGGGTATCTGATGGGATTTGCGGGGTACGGCCTGTATACATGGAGCCCCCTAAAAAAAACGGTAAAAATCAGTGAGGCGCCTCCCGTTTTCGGTGATCGGCCACTATTTTTTCGGTGATTCAAATTCCTCACTTTTTTCGGTCAAGTTTTCAAAATTCGGTGCTTTTCGGTGATCACCTACTACCGAGCACAGGCCTACTTATTTTCCGTATTCCATGTTGTCTGGTGGCCCGATTAGAAGAGAGAAAAGCGTCTCCGTACAACCTGTCCGTGATTTCTTGCATGAAAATAGTACCGTGCAACAGCAGTCCATTGGTGCACACGCATATCATGTACCTGGTACCATGGTGGTAGCTGATATCATGCACGGAAGGCCTTGCGAACCTGCTCATCTGCGCATACTACACTGCTGTACCACTCTTCGGGCCACTCTGTAAAAGGCAACCTGTAGGTACACAACAGTCGTGTGCAATACACCTCGAACAACTCTCTATCGAACACCTCCAACATGTCGTGAAACTCGACCCCTTCATCATGTGTACAGGTTGTGAGAGCGGTCTCAACCTACTTAAATGAACCATCGATGACTATGCATACGTCATCTAGACAACCCATAGACGCACTTAGACGAAACTTAGATGTGTTAAGACGAAACTTAGATGTGTTAAGACGAAACTTAGATGTGTTAAGACGAATCCTATATTTCTAAGACGCCGGATAGACACACTTAGACGCGGAATAGGCATTAAGATGATCCAAAATTTTTTCGCCTGCGGCGGGCTTAATCCCGCTACGCGCGATATTCTCAGTCTGACTTAAGCCGCGCTGCGCGCGTCTATAAAGGCTGCCCCTACAAGAGTGCCGGGTGCCGCTGGGTGTGCCCCTTCTCGCACCGCGGGCGTGTGCAGGTAGTGCCCGACCACGTGTAGAAGCACTCGTTGTCGGGAGTGTTCCAGGCGGCGACGGTCTGTGCAAACGCGTTGGCGGCTGCCGTGGAAGCGTATGGGACTGGGGCAGCGGGGGTGCGGGCAGGTTGACCCTGTGAAGTAGCCTTGCGCTTGGTGCTCGCGGCGGCCGTTTTTGGCTGCTGCTGACGGGCTAGACCCCCCTGCAGGAGACCCACCATCGAAGAAGACGTACCCTCCGCAATCAGGATCAACGTCCGTGAGAACTGCGGGACTTGGATCGCCCCCACCGTATTGGGGGGTGGAGGGGAGAGGGTGTTGCGCTGACGGAGCGCCCTAGCTTCGGTGGTCAGACGACTGACGAAATCGGCCCAATCGAGGTTGGCGTCTTGCTTGAACCTGGCGATGACGTCGGCCTCGCGGCCCTTGTACTCAGCGCAGTGGCGGGACGAGTAACGGCGAGCTTTTGGTATCCCTGGGGCGCGGCCGACGAGGACTGGTGGTAGTGCTGGAGATCCTGCTGCTGCAGCTGCTGCTGCTGCGCCTGACCTGCTGCTGCTGCTGCTGCTGCCTGTTTTGGGCGTCCCCGCCACCGGCGGCCGAGCTTGGAGGACTGCCGTCCGCCGACTTGCCTTGACTGGCCGCCGCGGCGCCCGCGACGCCCGCGGCGCTGTTCGTGCTCGCCGGTTGCCCATCATTGCCGTCCGTCCCAAAATCGATCAAATCCTAGGCGGCACCCCGTGTTTGCTGCTCCTCAAAGCTGCTATCTGTGCTACTCCTCTCCTTCTCTCAAATGTACTTGCTTGTCTCTCGCCCAGCGAGAGCACAAAAACTTTCTGACACCAAGGCTGTCTCTATTTTTCTTCGATCGCCGCTTTTCCGAATTCCAACACGCCTCCACAAACCACGGATTCAAATACGTACTGAATCTTCACATTCTCTCTGCTCCGCAAGGTCTACATTTTCCCCCCAAGCTTGGGTCTCTATCGACCTCTAATTTCACTTTTTTTTCTGTCCCTGTCTTTTTCATTCGCATAGCCCACCCTTTGCCCAGCAGGGTCTCAAATGCTCATCTCGATCGACAGTATGGTCAGAGGGACGGGGGTGGGTGCCTTCTCAAGAGTGCATGCCTAGCAGTGGGTGTCTTCTCGAGAATTATGCCTTGCCTTCTTTCGCTCTCGTCTCTCCTCGCCTTTCGCCGGTGGGGTCCCCACGACAACACCAACGAACAACCTCGATTGGTTTTTTTCTTGCTGACTGAGTAAAGATGGGTGCTGCCAGGGAATGGGCATGACCATAATGCTTGCTGCAGTGCCTATGTGACAACTTTCGGGGATGGTAGCGTACGCACGCATGATGTTGCGTTGTACGTCATTATTCATGATGATGTGGGTTGATGGTGTTGTGACGAGAACTACAGCAGTAAATGCAAGTTTGCCCGGGCGTTTTTTGCTCTGCCGAGTGACAGGGACTAATTTTTGAACGATCCGCGCGTTCTGGTGGTCTCCTTCATTCGGGTGGGTGTGATACTGCGTACTGGACAGATCATCAGCGAGCATCATTAGCGAGGAGATTGTTGACACAGCATCGAGTCCCTCGACACGAAAAGTTCATACAGTGGGTGGCCCGAAATACATAGTGGCATGTAGGGGCAAGAGGAGAATATGCCATTTTTCAGGGCAGTGCCATTATTCGATATATTGGGCTCATGCACATGTCGAGATTGATTGTGACAAGAGATATGTATTTATGCCCTATAGGGATGGATGACGGGAAATTCCACTATTATGGAAGTTGCCACTATATGGGGCCATACGCACGCATGGATGGGCGTTCTGAGAAGTGCCCTCTCTCTCCGTTCCAGGGCCGGTCGCGGCTGTTCTTTTCGGGAGCGCTCGAGCGACATGTTCATCAGACCCTCCGGCCGACCATGCTGGCAAATTTTCAAGCCTTTAAGGAGGACTATTATTGCTGGTTATGGTCGGTGTTTTAGTTATATTTGGAGTTTGTTACTAGATGCCGCACTCTACTTGCCGTTTTCGGCAGTGTCGGGTACGCACTCGGCGGAGTTGACATGTCGCTCGCCGCGTCCATCGGTCCGCTTTTCTGGACGCTCCCCTCTTCTCTCAGATTAATTTCTCTCAGAATATTCGGAAGATAGAACAGAACAGGCTTACGATTCCTGGAGAGCCATTGCTTCTTGCGGATGGGGATGTTTAAGGACGTAAGGCGAGATCGCCCGTGTAAGAATACGTACGACAAGAGGTCTACTCCTCCTGCGGCTGCAATCGAGCATGGTGGCGAGGTCTCGCCTAGACCACACGCTCCTGCCCATCGTTGCTGCTGGTGATTGTGGTTGTTGTTGTCATCAGCTGACTGTGATCACAGAAAAAGTGCCCGGACTACGAACCTCAGCCAGAACGGTGGTGTATTCCCGGTGTGGTGACAATACTGAAGTCCTATGATTGAATACGGCATAGAATGACCTCTGCGCAGCATAATTGTGCCATCAGGCTCGAACGTGATATATTTCAAGTGCTTCCGGAAATACCGCATTGATTGGTGTAGGAGGGCGTGTTACAGCTGTCCGATTGAACCTACGCGTGGAATGCTCCGGATTCACGCTACAGTCACCAGGTAGAGCTACTGCGGGCGCGGCATTTGATCCAAGGTGGTGTGAACGGAGACTTGGGATATGGCCGAGAACGTGACGTTTTATGTAGATTGAACGCATTACGTTACTGTAGATGTCACAATACTGCCCTCGCTGCCTGGCTGTGATGACGATCCCTCTGTCTGTGTGGCACAAGAAAAGTTCCAGCGAGAGGAATATGCGAGAGATTCTCGAAAGTGCGGCAGAGACAGAGAGGCGTGTTCGAAAACCTCTCAAGTTCGAGACTCGGTGAGTAATTCGTCAGCATTGGAAGCGATCCACCGGCAAAATCTATGCAGACAGCACAGAATCACGGACATACACCCGCGTGCATCCAGAGCGTCGAAAACCAGAGGTCTTGAAAATTTCCAAACAACAAGGACGGAGACCGCCGGCCGCAGTGTTGTATACGCAACATGTGCAGCGCTTGAGATAATCTGAGGAATGTGTACAGCAGTGTGTACAACAGTCAAATCCATTTTCGACACGCCCAGACAACAAACCGCAGCCCGTGGGACATACGGATATTGATGAATTCCGCCCATTCAATCGTTGCAAGCTGCATCGCTGAGCAGTCGCGGAATATTGTATCCCGTACTCCCCGCTGGCCACTCTAGTCTCTCCCGCCGCGACGCCTGTCTGTGAGCCTCGCCGCGAAGCCTGTCTGTGAGCCTGTCACCCCGCGAGAACATCTCAACTTTTTCTGCTCCTTGTGAAAATTGCTGATTGTCCTCAACGGTCGGCCCCGGGCTCACTTCCTTACCGCAGTCCCCATCATTGTTTCCTCTAGTCCCACCAAACGTCCGGCTTCTTCTTCACAACAGCGCCTACATAGTACATGAGCAGCTCTTGAGCGAGGCAGGGGATCAGAGCGAGGGACTGTCATAGAGCCAGTGTCAGTGGCTCCGTGTATCGCTTATCGTCCAATCATACACCTCCCGTAAACTTTGTAAATTCATGTTATCGGCACCCAAACAACAAACCGCAGCCTGTGGGGCATATAGATTGGTGGATTCCACCCATAGAATCGCGAACTTTTGTATCCCGTACCTTTCCCGTACTCCCCGCTGACCACTGAAGTCTCTCCCGCTGGGACGCCTGTCTGTGAGCCTGTACCACCTAGCGAGACATCTCACCATCCTCCTCCTCGTGAGCATTGCTGAGTCCTTATCTGTTGGTCACGGTGTGTCCCCATCATTGCCTCCTCTAGTCCTACCAAGATCCGGCTTCTGCTTCACACAACAGAGCTCATTACCATAAGTAGACTCGCGAGCGAGGCTTGTTGGGATCAGAGACCAGAGACCAGAGAGGGACTGTCATAGAGCCAGTGTCAGCAGCACCGTGACTCAACGATCGTGCATTCAGTGCAACCCCCCCATAAACGTTCAAATTCCCATGCGCGTGTGCTCTTTGGCGGTGCTCTTCCTTTTTGCATTTGCTTCCTTTGGTTTGGCGACTTGGCGACGCTTTCACTTCACACTTCACACGCTTCGCTTCCTAGGTGCGCACCACAGAGACACGTGGCTGGATTGACATCTCCCACGATAGTCAACTCGCCCAGAGGAATTTCTTGAGCTCAGAAGTGAGACACACATCGTCTATCATACCAGGCTACGAAGAGCGTTCGAGCATCCTGCAGGATCTCGGAGACACAACATTCAAACTGGTGCGCGATAGGGCCACACCCGACCAGTGGGCCGAGTGGCTGAGGGCTCCGCTGGAGCATGCGGCAGCCACGGGTAACCGTGACCTGGTAGATAAGCTGCTGGGAGCCGGGGCCAACGGCGGTGCCGGTTGGCGGGGTTGTCATGGCAAGACTCTGCTTCATGCGGCTGCTGAGGGCGGCAACGTGCAAGTAATCACAAGGTTGCGCAATGCAGGGGCAGGGGAAGACATGAAAGCGAAAGCCCTCGACACCGGGCATACACCCCTGGATCTGGCGGTTATTGGCGGGAAGGAGGCTGCTGCAAAGGCGCTGATCATGGCTGGGGCGAATGTGAACATGCTCGACGCCACGAATGACGGCCCGCTTCACCTCGCGATCACAGGGGGTCATGTGGGAATCGCCAAGGATCTGCTGCTTAGCGGAGCCAATCCTGTTCAGGCAGGATCGAACGACAATTTCGCCATCCACCTCGCTGCTTGCTATGGTTTAGATGAGGTGGTGTTGGCATTGGTCCAGAAGGGCGTTGACCTGAATTGCGTCAACACCAGAGGAGAAATTCCCCTCTGTGTGGCGTTGAGAGGGGACCACGTTGCCACCATAAAAGTGCTCGCGCTGACCCCAACTTCAGACATTTTCTGCACTTCGCAGCGCGCGAGAACAAATCGGCCGCCATCCGAGCGTTGCTCGAAGCCGGAGCCGATATCGAAGGTCGGAGTCGGATCGAATCAACCCCACTCCATGCCGCAGCATACTTTGGCTCATGCGCAGCCACGCTGACTCTGTTGGAACTGGGAGCCAACGTCCAACTCGAAGGGAAAAAGAGGATTTACCCCGTTGTACTGCGCGTGTTCGCAGGGCGATCACGACTCCGCGGACCTGTTGTTGAGATGGGGTGCGGACGAGACAGCCGTAGACAAAATGGGAGAGACCGTCGTCTCCACGGTGATAAAATGTGTCGCTGGAGCCCCCGAAGCTTCTCGCCCGTGTTTCCACGCTACTGGCACGTGCTCCGCAGGACAGGGCCTGACGTCGCTGGGGCTTCCTGGTCGTTTGCCGTGCCCACCCAGACAGGGTGCGGCTGGCAGCGGAGGTCCCTGCCGCAGCAGCTGAGGCTACCGAGCAGCTGCAGGAACGTCCGAGGGGTCGTGCTAGGACGGGCCAGGTGGAGGTCGAGGCGGAGGTGGATGAGACAAACGGAGGCGGGGGTGGAGCAGGCGCGAGGACTGGCGATCGAGCCGGGATTGAAGCTGTCGGTGAAGGCACCGTTGGCGAGTTTGATGGTGTGTCGGCCTGGATAATGGCACTGGCAGAGGAGGGCGTGTTCCGCAGGATCGTGGGCTTCCTGTAGTGCGTTCAAGGTCAGTCACGTTGGTCCATTCCTGTGAGGTGTTCGTTGTTTTTGCTGTTCACATGGTTTGGCGTATCTTTTGGTTCTCTTCTGTGTACCGCACAGGTACCGGTATTGTTGTCATAACGAAAACAGGACAAGCGTCCAACCTTTAGGCGGCATCTATTTGATGTTTGCCGCGGCAAGTTGTGACGGCAAGAGTATCGCACACAAATCCTACCAAGTACTAGCGCGGTTTGAGGTGGTTGTGTATACACAGGTCTTCACCCGTTCACACTCCGCCTACTGGATCGTACTAGCATAAGCCCCCTCATCTGTCCACCCCCAACTCTTTGTTGTTAGTTGTAGGGTAGGGAAAACCGATGGAATGTCGCGAATCTCCAAAACAATGCTTCTTGCTTGCGTCGGCGTCTATTTTGTTGCCTTGTTCCTATGATATTTGTAGCCGTGTTCGTTTGTTTGATGGGTGAACTGAATTTGTTGCATCCTTACATGTCGTGCGATTACGGTATTGGCAGACTGTGCTATGGTTGTCCATGACATGGTCGATCATGCATGTCCGTAGCTCTCACCTTGGTAGCCCCCAATAGGGGTCAATAGGCGGGGGAATTATAGACAACACAGCTCAAGCAATGCGCGATATGACCGACTTCGATGAGCAGTGAAGAGCTCGTTCAGCTGCTGGAGCTGGTATGTGTCGGAGCCAAGGCCTCCTTGGTAGTTCGTTTTAGGTCTTATGATTTAGCCCAAGTCAGGGCGACTTGGGGGCGAGTCTCTACCTCCCTACAGCGGGGCACCGCAGACTGCAGTAGCCTCTCTGTGTGAGGATGCTCGTGCGGCGGAACTATTGCCACGAACCGTAACATCCCCCCTAGTATATTATGGACTTACAATATACTACGCCTTACCCTGTGCTCATAACTAGAGGAGTGACAGAACCGCGAAGTTCTGCACCAACCGATATGCCTCGAAAAGGAACTAATCCACCCGATACTTCACGTCGCCATCTCATCTCTCTCTTTCTCTGAGGGACACACTTTCGAGAAAACCCTCTCGTGAAGTCGTTGGCATGGAGAGCGATCTCCATGCCAGTGGAATAGACCGACATACCCCACTGGCTACAAGCGATGTCGCAATCGGGACAGTGATTGCGACCAAGTCCTACAGGACCTACCAAGTCCACGCATGCGTACACACATGCGAAGACACACCATTCCAACATCGACTCAGTACCACCTACGGAGAAGGAGCAAACACGAAGGCTCAAAATGAATCCCCAACACAAAGAGTGAATTCCCAGACCCCACCTCAAACGATACCTATTCCACACGAAATATCATCTCCAGATTCCACCATAGCATCCCCCCACCATACATTCCACGCCAAAAACACGCACACGAAAAGCGATCGATTACGTCCCCCCACCAAGACATAAACCCAACAAAGGAATCGTAAGGTGCGATGGAGGCCACGTTCTAGCTCTTGTTGCGTCAGCTGCTGCTGAGGCTTTAGCCGTCCGCCCAAGTCTTTTTGGGAAGGAAACCTAGGGGGAAGACGCAGAGCTTCACGGGCGGACAACGGCGCACGCGGTTGGGTGCGGGGAATAAGCTGGGAAGCTAATTCCGGGTAGTTCAGATGCCACAGCGTAAAAAAGGCATCCAACTGTAAGCGTGTGAAAGTCTGTAGTAGCTTGAACTCTGGCAACCACACCGACTCCACACCAGTATGGCAGACAGCTTATTGCTCGCACACCAGAGAGCCTGAAGGTGAATTCACTCGGCCACACTCTGATTGCGAAACGAAGACTGCCTGTTCAGGCCGTTATAATATGCGACGCAAATTCGGGCAAAGGTTACGTCAGCAAGATTCTACGGTAATCTGCGCGAGAGATGGGTGGCAGTGACTCAATTGTTTCTGCTCTGGACTACTGGGTGTCTCGAAGGCAACCCGAAAATCGTTTCCTTGGGGGCTCGGGCACGGTGTTTGTCACAGGAACCAATGCGAAACCTGTTTGGGGACTTCCCTTCCTGTGACGTTGGCGATTGTTGCTGGTCTCTCGCACCCGTACTAATGCTCGAATCGATGTTTCCTGACAGGCGAGATTCTGACCCGATCATGACCTCCCCCCAAGCGGAAGACCATTCACGGAAGACCATAATTTACGTGATTTCGTTTGTCAACATGAGCAACATTCCTATACCAGCTTGTATGGCTGGCGCCATCTCCACCTGTGAGCACGGCAACACCTTGCCTGGTGGTCGAACGAGTTTTAGTACCGTCTGTCAGCAAGCTGATACGTTGGTGTTTCCCTGTCCGTGCTACCCCTTTCCCCCTGTCCATGTGCGCTCTTCCGAAATTTTATTCCGGGCGTCAATCAGCATCGACGCGTGGCAATGTGGTCTGGATGACCAATGGTGAAGGATCTCGAGACTCGCAAGCAGACGCGTCTCCGTTCTCGAGAAAACTGCAACGTTGTCGTGCGCTCGGTGCTTGCTAGGCGTTCCTCAAGCCCAATGTACGTATTCCAGCTCTGGCCAAGCCCGCGCCCCGTTGCTGTACCCACGAGACACGAGCAAGTTCTTTCAACCCCACCGCCAGGTCGGCCGCTGTCATTCTCTGTCATTCTGGGGTTGTTTTTGTTTTGTTTTTTTGTTCTACTCTTTCGATGTGTTGCCCAGCTTTGCATTTGTTGCTCCGCTCGATTTGGACGGCAAGACGCCCTCTTCGTCGGTTCCCGGAGAAAACACTTTCAAATAATTCGTGTTTCTCTCGCTGTTGGACAGCTTCTCTCTGTTGCTTGGCCTTTCGGGTAGTATGCTTTACATCTCCTGGTCTTCACTCGGTTAGTGCTTGCAGTGAAAGTGTCTTCGTGGCTCTTTTGGTCGCTGGTAGCTTCCTCCTCCAAACACACTACTAAAGTCGATCGTACCTGTTAGTTATTTTTCTGTTGTTGCTGTCTCGCTGCACTTGTGCCACCGTGTCCTGTGTGACGGGTGCTTTCGTTGGCCTACTTGTGGCGGCGTTGTACTGTTTCTTGGGCATCGTCCCTTTCTCCCTCTCCTCTCTCCTTTCTACTTAAGCGCCTTCCGTTTTGTCTCTTTGACTTGAATTTAGCGTTGTGTGAGTTTTAATCTTGATTTCAAAGGAGGCCTGTGGAGGTAGACGCGTGAAATGTAAGTTTTGAGCAACCTCTACTGTCGCCCTGTGCGAGAATCAACGATTACTGTTTTTCGCGATGCCACCCGACTGGTCTTGTGTGTCTGTTGTACAATTTCTGGACCTCTTCTTGCGTTTGTTTTCAAAATTCGCCAATATCAAAATTGCTCTTCTTCCCCCCCTTAACAGACCGACCTCTCATCCTATACTACGCGGCCTCTCGCTTCGTGTTATTTCTTTGGCGAGAATTCTGCCCCATCTCGTTTTGGCCGACAAAGTGGACGGTGAACTAGCAGACACGGCGTTAGGACACGGAACGGGGGAGGAAATAGCACCGCTGCAACCACCACCAGCCACTTGTTGCGTTTGCTGCGCCATCTGTGAGGAGCGTCACCAACAAACCATAGGATATTATTCTAAACAAGGGCGATCGATATATATATATGAAATATGTCTGCTGCCTCTGAACCAGCCTCCCGCATGCAGTAACCAGCAGTTGAGCCATGTCATGGCGGTATCAGGAGGGGGGCAGAGCTATGAAGAATTTTGGTGGCGTCAGGGGAGAGGGTGCAGAGCAACGCAGGAAGCTACATGGTTCGGACATATTTGTGTCGCACGAGTGTGCATGTGTGCAGCATGGTTGTGAGCGGCATGCGGTCCGCCAACCGTCAAACGCCAGAGAAAAAGCCAACGGCGGTGTGGGACGAATACACAGCAGGCTTGCGCTCTCCAGCCCTGACAAAAGCCGACTGAAGATCACAGGAAACGGTCGAGTGAGACAACACACAGGCACATGTGACAGCACCGGTATGACACGAAGGCTGCACTGTTTCATCTGAGATCAAGAGGACACTGCAGCTGATTCAATGCCGTCGTTGTGTGTCACGTGTGTGTGTGTCACCCGCGCTGCTGGTGGACAGCGCCGCTGGTGGACAGCAGCGCGTGTTTATGCGATGTGCCAGGCGCTGCGTGCCTCCTCCAGAAAGGGGCATGCATGCGTGTTGGCACACAGCAGGTGGTTTTGGGACACAGCAGTAGTAGAGGGGTTGGGTTTGGGTTGGGTTGGCATGCGTGCTGGCACACAGAGGTTTTGGTTTGGTTTGGTTAGGTTTGGATAGGTTGGGTTGGGTTGGGGTTGGGTTGGGCTGGCTAAAACGGTTTGGTTTAGTTAGGTTGGGTTAGGTTGGGTTGGGTGGGGTTGGGTTGGGATGGGGTTGGGTTGGGGTTGATTCGCCGCCGTCGCTTCGTCGTTCGTCACCGTTGGGTTGGGTTGGGTTGATTGGGTTGGTTTTGGTTGCCTTTGGTTTGGTTCGGCTAGGTTTGGTTATCACTTGATTTAAGAGTTGAGCAAGTGGGACAAGTTTCACTTGATTGAAGAGTTGAGAAAGTGGGATAAGTTTCACTTGATTAATCTATCGATTCTGATCACATTTTTTACTTGAATAATCTATGGATTCCGATCTTCACTTGATTGATTTAAAGTATCGAAATTTCGGACAAGATTTCTTCATTGCTTTTTTGCGGGATTGTGCTGGCTAAAACCCCAATTTGCAATTGGGGAAAAATTGCAGAAAAATTCAATTGGGGAATTTGCAATTGGGGAATAGGTATGGCCGGTGTCACCCCGGCGGTGAGTACACCCCGCCGTAGCAGAGGGACAAGGACGGAATCATGCCCTTTCTACTTCTGGACTTGGTGATCTTTGAATCGTTTGTTTGGCACTCACTTCGTTTTGGCATCGCGTGCCGAACGGGAGCGATGGGCTCAATTTTTGGTTTTACATCATAAATCTCCTGCGCCCGATATGTCGCCAACGACGTCTTATACCCGGCTGTTTCTCTATTCTCGGTTTTTTATTTTTGTTTGTTGTGAAGAACTTGAAGGGGTATGTAGAGGAGAGTGAGAAAACGCGTTTCGGCAATTATTGAGGAGACGAAGGAGATTGACAGGACAGGAATGCACAAGAGAAAACCCTTTCGATTCGGTGTGGTGGCAATTTGACGATGTTTAGGACGGGCACGATACTGACGAACAGAATACCTCGTAGATGTTTCTGACGACAGCATGAATTTAGCGGAAATAGTAGCGCGGGGTTAGCTCCAGCCTGGTCTGAAGCCCGCTTTTCCCCCTACTCCCCCGCTGCGGGAGGACGTCGATCGAAGCCAACCTCAAGTGGTTTTAGGGAAGGGTTAGACATGCACTTGGGCCAAATGAGTCCCAGAAAACTTTTCCTTCGATATTGTTCTGGTGCATCCCTGATCTTCACAACAAACTGCGTGAGCTGATCGCGGAGACTGGACGACGCCATCTTCGACAGCTGGCGAAATAGAGAGGCCGTGTCGGTCCAACAGCAGAAGCACCACCTAGAATGTACCATTGCTTCAACAAGCGAAACGACACAAACATACTCTGTAATCAAGCACAGCGAAGCCCACACGACCTACCGCTCGCATAGAAAGAGACGCTAGCAGTGCAAACAGTCTGCAGCGACACACCGACACGGGGCAAGGCATACTCTAAACATGCAGGCGCTACGGCCGCCGCTGACCTTGTGGTGTCTTGACGCAAGTAACGCTTCGGCCAAAGGCTCGCGCTCCTGAACGCAGCAGTCTCTCCGTAACCCCATCCTTCTCCTAAACATTACCCCTTGTCGCAGCGTCTTTTTTTCCCTTCCGACTTTGCTTTCTTCGGTTGCTGTTTCGTGCTTCCGCTAATAGTGTCCTGGTCGCTTGAGGCCCTCTTCCTCTTCTCCTTGGTGCTTCCATTGCTGCTGTTGTGCGACAGGGCATTTGACGAATTTCCTTTCTTCCCCTCCTTCATCTTCTTTGTCGTCTTCTTCACCGTCTTCTTCGCGTTCTTCTTCACCGCTTTCTTCACCGTCGTCTTCTTTTTCTGCACCTTATCCACCTTCTTTGCCTTGGGCTTTTTCTTTTTGGGTTGTTGCTTTTGTTGTTGCACCAAACGCCCACCACTACTGCCACCGCCGCCACTTCCTTTGGCGTCCGAACTGGCCTCGAACAGCCCACCGCTGTTAGACCCGTGCCCCCAGCAGGGCTTTGCACCTGGGCACGTTTCCAGGGGTTGTTTGTCTGGCTGGCCTTCGCCACCGGGGTGTGAAGACGCCTCAAGCTTGACATGCCAACCTGGTTCGGGGCCTGACAAAACAAAAGAGAGAGATGGACGGGCGAAAATGATGCGGATGAACGGAGGGTGATCGCGATGTCGAGATTGGCCTTTGCACAAGGTCGATGCGCCCTGACCCTCCAAACAATCGAAAAGTTTTTCGGACGTGCGCCTCCTAATCGTATCGTAGGACACACGTTTTTGGTTGGAGCTACATCCATACATTCTGCGTGATGACGTCGAAAATCACCAGCGGATATAGGCACAAAAGAAAAGGTAATATGGGAAGGGAGGGGGGTGCATACAGCAAAAATGTTAAGGTGCGGTGGGCGGTAAGAATTAAGCTAACATTCAGAGGCGAGCAGAGATTGGCGGGGATATCAGAAGACATACATCTAACCTCTTTGCAGCACAAGAGTACCTGGGTCATCCCCATTGGGGTTTACGGCACACACCTGAAGGTTAAGGGGCTGGCTTGCCTGACGTACGATAGGCGGTACAAAGCAACCCAGTTAGTTGTTGGGCTGAACGAATGCTTCTCAAGTCAGGATGGTATAGACGAGATAGCTCCCCGGAGCCAGACCTAGTTAACTTTAAGGCGTGTCAACACTATCAACGAAGACAAACAACGAGAACAAACAAAGCAGCAGCAGAAGCACCAGCACCAGCAGCAGCAGAAGCACCAGCAACTAACACTGATCGGAATGGTGCAACAAAGCTCACTTGCGGGACGCGGAGACGCCTTCCCGCTGCCTACAGCAACAAGCCTGCTTTCCCTCTCGCGGCGAAGGTCCGACCCCCAGATGACCCTTCCCAGGATCGATCGGCGTCTAATAGGCTGAGCGGCGTGCTCCACTTGCTGGTGCTGCGATTCGGAGCGTGCTTCAGAGCTGCCATTTCGAAGTTGTGATTCTGAACGGTCTTTGGTGCCGTCTCGAAGATGGTCGCTGCTTCTGATGCTCCCGTCCTTGGATGCCCCGTCTCTGAAGGAGGGTTGGCCGTGCTGTCGGCTTCCGCTGGCGTCAACCTCTCCGTCTCTGGGTTGATCGTAGTCTAGATCGGCGTTCCCATGGGCACCGCCGCAGCCACTCGTTTCTCCTCGCCCATCACCGACACCTACGGCCAACGCGAAGCCCGAGCCGTCTTCGAGGGGCCTGTTGCTGCTGAACAGGCTTCCGGACAAACCGACATGTCGACCATCGTCATCATCACCACAACCAAGAACAAAGCTGCCATCGTCGTGAAGACCAACACCGGTTGCCGCCACGGGCGTTAAACGTTTCGAGCGGCCTGAACCCGTGGTAACCGACGTCGACTGTTGTGCGTCACGGGCGGCTGCATTTCCTTCCGTTGTTCCTCCGCCGACGGGCACAGTGGCTTGCGCCGGCGGCGTCAGGTTCGCGATTTTGCTCTCGGAATGGTTCATTTTGGGCCTCTTGGGGTTACGGTTGCTGCAGGCGGCAGTGCCTTTGCCTTCGGCGCTCAGACCTCTGTTCTTGGAGCTGCTAGCCTCTTCGGCGATGGCTAAGGACAGCGCTTGAGCCGCCTTGGCAAAGTCTTTCGAAGCTGCCATGGCTCTGTAGGCCGAACCGAGATCAACCTGATTCAACGAAGCAAGCCCGAGAGGGGAGACGGGTGGTGCCGGGCGCTTAGAGGAAGTTGATTTTTCTCAGAGAAAGAGGGTGACGCGTTGGACTAACGTCAGCATGTTCACACCAAAATCAAGGAGACACTAGAGATCCAAGGTGCAACCACGCACCTTCGCCTCGCTCTTAAAAACGCCTCTCACCAAAGGGTACCTGGTCGGTAGCTTCACGAGAGTTGCCCTCCCGAACGAGAAAATCGGGGAGAGGTTACCATGACAGGAGACGAAAATACGTGTCGCGAAGGAACATGAAAGAGCCACAACTATTGGGCATCACCGCCAACCAAGAAGAGCGAACTATGTACGCTATCACGGCGAAACATCGAAGAGCTATGACATCACGATGCACACAAAACACCAAGCGAGGGCGCAAAAAAAAGTCTTCCCGCACACCTACCCGACACACACACACCCCCGGGAGGGGGACGAAATTTTTTTTCGTGGTACATTTTTTTGGAGGCTTTGTTGGCTTTCTCCCTCTCCATTGCGTGTGCTTGCGTGTGCTGGTGTTTACGGCACGCAGAAGTGCACAAGGACCTTGTTACCAGGTAGTTGTTTGATAGGTTTGAGATAGTTAATGGTGTGTACATTCGGCGCCGGAAGATTGTTACTTCGTATAAATATAGCTTAGGAGTACATACAGTGCTTGGGGACACGCCCCCCCTCAAGCTAGAAGTATTCTATCTTAGAACTTCCCAATGCTTCTGGTACAAGTCCGCGACATTTGACCTTGGGCGAATATGGCGAAATAACACACGACACACACCCCAGAACCAAAGGACGCATAAATACCATGCGTCAAAACGTCATCAATCCAAGCATACTCAAGCCGGCAACATGCCGAAGAGGGGCTGCCGATGAGCCTACGGCGGCGGTGGCATCACCTTCACCACGTACGTGCAGCACTCGTCCACAACTAATTGTAATTAATTGCCGTGCGTTCAAGGATTATTATTCACTCCCCCAGGCCCCTCCACCTCCCTCACCCAGACTAAACCGCCGTTTCTTCGAGCGCTTTTTCGCCCCGAGCGCCTTCGCCCTACCTCCTCGTCCCCCCTCACCCCCACACCTCACCCTCCCCCTCCTCCTCCTCCACCCC